AAGTAAGCTCTACATCCAATGTGGGGCTTAAGCTCACAACCCCGACATCAAGAGTTGCATGCTTTACTGACTGAGTGAGGCAGGTGCCCCTATAAGAGACATATTTTAGATCTCAAAACATGAACAGATTGAAAGTAAAAAGATCAAAAAAGATATGCGATACAAATAGTAATTGTAAGAGAACTTAAATAGCTATATTAATCGACGTTAAGAATACAAATATTACTAGAGACAAATAGAAACATTTTATAATGTCATTACATCTTTAGAAGGTATAAAATTTATTATGTACATGGACCTAACAACTGACCCCCAAAATAACAGGAAACAAAATGAACAGAACTGAAAGGAAAAATAGACCACTCAAGAATTATAGCTGGAGTGTTCCTCTCTTGAGTACTGATAAAACAGAAGATTAGTAACATAAGTAGACTTGAACATTATCAACCAACTTGACCTGAGAGGTATAGAACACTCTACTCAACAAACAGAATAACTTTCTTTAAAAAAAAAAAAAAAAATTTTTTTCTTTATTTATTTATTGGTCAGAGAGAGAGCACAAGCAGGGGGAGCAGCAGGCAGATGGAGAAGCAGGCTCCCCACTGAGCGGAGAGCTTTAAATGGGGCTCAATCCCAGTACCTGGGATCATGACCTGAGCTCAAGGCAGATGCTTAACCGACTGAGCCACCCAGGCGTCCCCAGAATAACGTTCTTTTCAAGCACACATGAAACATTCTCTAGAATAAACAATATACTAGGCCATAAACAAATCTCAGTAAAATTTAAAAGATTGAAGTCATACAAAGATTGTTCTACAACGAGAGGACTTAAATTGGAATTCAACAACAAAAAAAATTTGAAAGTCCCCCAAATATTTGGAAATTAAACAAGACACATCTGAATAATGCTTAGGTCAAAGGAAAAAATCACGTGAGAAATTAGAAAAGATTTTGAGTCGAATGAAATGAAAACAAAATTTATAGGATGCAGCTAAAGCTGTGGTTAGAGGGAGTTTTATAGCTTTTCATGTGCTCAATATCATTAATCATTAGGGAAATGCAAATTAAAAACATAAAGGGGTACCACTGCATGCATAGTGGTATGGCTATAATCCAAAAGACTGACAACGCTAAGGGTCGGTGAAGGTATGGAGAAAACAGAACTCTCATACATTTCCAGTCGGAGTGTATAATGATATAACAACTTTGGAGAACAGTTTGGCAGTTTCTTAAAAAGTTAAACATATCATATGATACAGCAGCTCCACTTCCAGGTATCTACTCAAGAGAAATGAAAGCGTGTGTTCACATGAAGGCTACTTATTTCACAGTAGCATTATCTATATTAGTTCCAAACTGGAGAGAATCCAAATGTCCATCACTGGTGAATGGATAAAATGTGGTATAACCATATTATAGAATACAATTCAGCAATAAAAAAGAATGAACTCTTGAGTTATGCGGCAACATGGATAAGCCCAAAAACATTATTCTAAGTAAAAAAAAAAAAAAGCCAGACACAAAAAACTACATGTTGTATGATTCTATTTATATAGAATTTCTAGAAAAGATAAATCTATAGAGACAGAAAGTAAATCAGTGGAAGTGGGAACTGAGTTCAGGCACAAGGGAACATTTTGGATGAAGAAAATTTTTTCATTACTGGATTGTGTGATAATGTGATAATTTTTTCATTACTGGATTGTGTGATAATGTGATAATTTTTTCATTACTGGATTGTGTGATAATATAAAACATTATTGAACTGTACACTTACATAAAATTCAATAAGTGAACTCTGTAAATTATACCTCAACAAAACTATTTTAAAACCAAGTTAAATATCTCCATCCTGCAAGAGCAACAACCCGAAGACCAAAGCTGATTGATTCTACGAAATGTCTCCAAACTCTTCTCAATTCTCTGCTGTTTAGAGATGCCTGGGTACCTAAGAAAAGGAGAATTCCTGGAGTCTTCCTACAGACATCCCAATCATATGATCCATAGATTCAGAAGTGTAATTATTAAACCTGTCAAACACCAAAGACTATAAAGGAAGAAGCCGTTGCTGAAGATCCCCCAAAAGAATTGACTTATTCTGTGTGGCAGAGATTGTAAGTTTTCCCACAATATACATTCGCCCCTTTGTCCACAATAACTGGATTTTTAGCTGAATGCATGGCTACTCAGAATGAGAACCACAGTTTCAGCCTGCCTTGCAGCTGGGTCTGACAATGTGACTAAGTTCTGGCCAATGTATGTGAGCACAAGCAAGATGTGCAAAACATCTGTGCTTTGCCCTTACAGGATAGAGCCCTGTCCTTCTTTTCCCCATTCCAGCTGTCTAGAGCCATCTTGGACTGTAGGATAGCAGAGCAGGAAGACTGAAAAAATATGAGCCCCTGACAAATCAATAGAGAGGAGATACCGTACCATGCCAGGTTTTTCCACCAGGGAAGAAAGAAATCCACTGTTAATTTGGGTGTCTGTGACATGTAGCTGAAACTATATCCTGCAATAAGAATATGATCTGTTGTATACAATCCAGAAGCTATAGAGTGTGGCAGTTATTTCCAAATGCATCCGTTAACCAGTCAGAAGTAACAAAGAACGAGAGGGAGGGAGGGAGGAGGGAAAGGGAAGAGAGAGTGGGGGCGGGGGAGAGATTTCTATCCAACATTGCTATCTGGAGCATTTTCTTGCTGAGCAACAAGGAGACCAGTATAAACCTAGGGAGGACGGTTAGGATTGGCAAACTTCTCTTTCTTCATGTAAAGGAGAACGGAAGCCAATGTGAGAAAGCCCAGGAGCTACTGAAGCCATTCTGCCATGGGAGTGGAGGTTCTTTCAGGCTCCTGGCTCCAGATGGGAGCCCGGAGCTCATGAAAAGCCCCTCTAAAGAGGCACCTTAGGTCCTCCTTGTCTGTCTTTTGGTAACTTATCCTCTCTCCTTGTTTGCCCAGGTGCCTATTCCTGCAGCCGCTTGTCAATGGTGTCCTTCTTTTTCTAGTTCACAGTAAAACTCTGCTGGACACTGCCAGTAGACTGAGGTCCAAAGTCCAAGAAATTAGGCGGATTCAGAATGGACAAATGAAATGCGGGAAAGACCAGGAAAAGAAACACCCTTTTCCAGAAACTGCTATGGCTTCCCATTGCACAGAAGACAGAGTACTCATTCTCTAGCGTGGCCTGTGACTCACTCACAAGGTCCATTATCTGACTCTATCTCTCCATTTCAAAATTTTTCATGTACATTACCTCAGGGATGCTTTATCACAGCCATACTTTACTGGGAAAAATATTGGATCACTGAGGGGTTAGATGACTTAGCTGAGGTCACACAAAATGGAGCCAGAATGTTTTGCAGGTATCCAGACTCCAACTCCCAAATGTTCCATTGCACCAGCACGTGTGGGAGCTATGGGCAAAGACCTTGAATGTGGACAAGCAAGACCCATTCAAAAATGTTCCAATGATCTGGGGTGAAAGCAAACTTCTTTAAACAGGACATGGGGTCTATAAAATAATTTGATAAAATTATGAAGTGCTATACAAAGATTACTTATTATTTTTTACTTATATGAAGCCTGTTTATATACCTATGGCTACATACCATAGAGTATGACTAAGTAGAATTAGATGTTGTCTTGGATCCAGATCATTGTTCTTTTCTGTCAAAGTAGGTAATTAAGAGCAAATTTTATAACTGAATAGTGCCTCTCTCTTATTTAGTAGGCTGGTATCATCTTCTCATGGGACCAGTACTTGGAAGAGGACATCTAGATGAAGAGAAATATATCTATGTCATACCTCCTTCCTCACATACTCCTTCACCCACTGGGTGGCCACAGAGATGCTCTCTGTCTTGGTGACATCCAGGATCACCATCTCCAGCCTGTCTGATGTCTGGCCTCTCAGCTGCTGGGCCCCCTCCTCCATCAGACACGTGGCCAGCACCCTCAAGCCTCGCAGGTCCAGCTGCCTGGCCAGCAGGTTCCCTAAGCCCGAGTCACACATCATAATTAAGTCATTATTGTCTTGGAGGTGGCCAACCCATCACCTGCCTTTCCTGGTACTGGTGCAGAAGATGGTAGAGCCCCCCACCCCGGGAGCGGGGGGAGGTGGCAGGGGGAGGGTGGTCCTCATTCTTCAGTAGAAGAAGAAATTCAGACTTCTCCTTTCCTGGCAAACTTAGAAGAGTTGGCATTTCTGTCCTTATTTTGAAGGCCTCTTAATATTACACAAGATAGTGGATTACACAAGATTTCTAAGGAGAGTCTCAGTTCTGCCTTTGAAGTTGTTTGCTTCCAGTTCATTTTCATATCCTGGTTGAAACTTGTCCCTGACTATTAAAAAAAACAAAACAAAACACAAACAATTTTAAAAATCCTTATACTTCCTGCTCCTCTGTCAGACATTCCCAAAGGAACATTTCATTTGTTATTCCAAGTTTGGCATTAGAATTCTCTGTATCCATTTGTTCTGGTCCGGATGCAGTATTTACATTTTGTTGTTCAAGAATGTCTCAAATGGTCTGGCCAGGCTACAGTTCAGTGACCAGCCAGCCCCATGATGCTCCAGATTGTGCTCTCTCCTCCCCCTTCCCCCCAGTTTCTGGGTTGAGGTTCACTGGAGATCAGAGAGCTTGCCAAGCCTCAGGGGAAAAGCAGGCACCTCCCATAGAAGAGGAGGCCTATGGATGACAGAGGCCCCTCAGCCTTCACAGGGAAAGAGCTGGAAGAGCGGCCCAAGCAAGGCTGGTTAGGAGAGGTTTCTGAAGGCCCATGGGAATAGAAGAAAGCCACATCACAGCTGCTGGCTAGAAAACCCTGCTGCAAATGTGTGTGTACAGAGATGTTCCCTGGGAGGAAACAAGCAATGACACATTCAAAGATAGGATTTTAGAACTAGAAGGACCTGCTCTGCCAGTTGCTTATAGGGTATGTAATTATTCTCCCTGGGCCTCTAGTTTCTTCTTCATTAAAGCTGGAATAATAACTATGAAGGTTCTTGTGAAGATTAAAGTGCTTACAACAGTGCCTGGCAGGTAGGAAGCACTATGTAAGTGTGTGCTCTTGTGTGGGGGCTGGAATCCTGACTGCCACTTATTAGCTATGTAATCTTGTGCAAATGACTTAACCTCTCCGAACCTTAGTTTCCTCCTCTATAAAATAGGGGCAACCTCACAGGGCTTGTTACAGAGATTACATTAAAATTAAAACACTAAACACTTGGGCGCCTGGGTGGCTCAGATGGTTAAGCGTATGCCTTCGGCTCAAGTCATGATCCCAGGGTCCTGGGATCGAGTCCCGCATCGGGCTCCCTGCTAGGCGGGGAGCCTGCTTCTCCCTCTGCCTCTCTCTCTCTGACTCTCACGAATAAATAAATAAAACATTTAAAAAAATGTTTAAAAAAAACCACTAAACCCTTAAAACATTCAGTCCTTGGGATTAAGTAATGTCTGATAAATGCTAATTATTTCTATTTCTATTATTTTATTGGTACATTTCTCTCATCATCTCTACTCTTGCTCCTCCTGTATCCCTCCAACCAGGTTCATTCCAACTAATTCCTTAATGGCAGCAAAAGTGATCTTCTTTAAAAATAAGTAGCTTCAAGGGGAACCCTCTTACACGGTTGGTGGGAATGCCAACTGGTGCAGTCACTGTGGAAAACAGTATGGAGGTTCCTCACAAAGTTAAAAATAAAGCTGCCCCACGACCCAGCAATTGCACTACCAGGTATTTATCCAAAGGATACAAAAATAGTGGTTTGGAGGGGCACATGCACCCCAATGTTTATAGCAGCAATGTCCACAATAGCCAAAATACAGAAAGAGCTTAGATGTCCATCGACAGATGAATGGAGAAAGAAGATGTGGTATATACACACAATGGAATATTACTCAGCTATCAAAAAGAATGAAATCTTGGTCCCCGGGAAGTGGAGCCCTGGACTTCCACTTGTGCGTGAGGTGAGTGGAGCCAGAGTGGAGACCAGAGGCCGAACTCGGGATCTGACAAGATGGCCAGGCTGCCCCCAGGATTATCAAGGAAACCCAGTGTTTGCTGGCAGAACCTGTTCCCAGCAGTAAAGCGGAACCAGATGAGAGCGATGCCCGTTATTTTCATGTGGTCATTGCTGGCCCCCAGGATTCCCCCGAAATTTTCCTACTAGAAGAATACCCCATGGTAGCCCCTAAAGTATATTTCATGACCAAAATTTATCATCCTAATGTAGAGAAGTTGGGAAGAATATGTTTAGATATTTTGAAAGATAACTGCTCCCCAGTACTGCACATCCACACAGTTCTGCTATCTATCCAGGCCTTTTTAAGTGCTCCCAATCCAGATGATCCATTAGCAAATGATGTAGTGGAGCAGTGGAAGACCAACGAAGCCCAAGCCATAGAAACAGCTAGAGCAGGGACTGGGCTATATGCCATGAATAATATTTAAAATCGATCTGATCATCAATTGTGCATCACTTCTGTTCTGCCAAGACTTCTTGCTTTTTTGTTTGCATTTAATGGACACAGTCTTAGAAACATTATAGAATAAAAGCCCAGACATCTTCAGTCCTTTGGTGATTAAATGCACATTAGCAAATCTATGTCTTGTCCTGATTCACTGTTTCAAAGCATGAGCAGAGGCTAGAAGTACCATCTGGATTGTTGTGAAACATTTGAAAGCAGTGGCCCTTCTCTGCTTTTATTCATTTCCCCCGTCATGGTTTGAGTATAAAGCACTGTGAATGAAGGTAGTTGTCACGGTTAGCTGCAGGGGTGTGGGTGTTTTTCTTTCTTTCTTTTTTTGAGGGGGAGAGGTAGTTTTATTTTAATTTTATGGGCTCCTCTGCCCCTTTTTATGGTGATCTAATTGAATTGGTTAAAAACAGATAACCCGTTCTTTAGAATATGCTCTCTAGCCAAGTCTAACTTTATTTAGGTGCTGTAGATGGACAAGCTTGATTATTTGAACCAAAATGGGAACATTAAACAAACATCACAGCCCTCACTAATAACATTGTGACTTTGTTGTCAAGTGTGGAATCCTTCCTTCAAGAAAAAGCTTGTGACCATTTTGTATGGCTTGTCTGGAAACTTCTGTAAATCTTATGTTTTAGTAAAATATTTTTTGTTATTCTAAAAAAAAAAATGAAATCTTGCCATTTGCGGTGGCTCAGTCGGTTAAGGGTCTCCCTTCAGCTCAGATCATGATACCCGGGACCTGCGATAGAGCCCTGAATAGGACTCCCTGCTCAGCAGGAAGTCTGCTTCTCCCTCTGCCCCTCCTCCTGCTTGTGCTCTCCCTCTCATGCCTCCCCCCTCTCAAATAAATAAATAAAATCTTAAAAAGAAAAATAAATCTTGCCATTTGCAATGATATGAATGGAACTAGAGGGTATTATGCTAAGTGAAATAAGTCAGAGAAGGGGAGCCTGGGTGGCTCAGTTGGTTGAGCGTCTGCCTTTGGCTCAGATCATGATACTGGAGTCCAGGATCGAGCCCCACATCGGGCTTCCTGCTCAGCAGAGAGTCTGCATCTCTCTCTGACCCTCCCCCCTCTCGTGCTCTCTCTCTCACACTCTCTCTCTCTAAAAAAAGAGAAAGAAGTCAGAGAAAGACAAACACAATAAGATTTCACTCATATGTGGAATTTAAGAAATAAAACAGATGAACATAGGGGAAGGGAAAGAAAAATAAAATATAAAAACAGAGGGAGGCACACCATAAGAGACTCTTAACTATAGGAAACAAATTGAGGGGAGGGGAGGGGAGGTGGGTGGGGGATGCGGTAACTGGGTGATGGACAATATTTTTTTTAAAGATTTAATTTATTTATTTGAGAAGGAGAATGAGCAAGAGAGAAAGCGTGAGCTGGGGGAGGAGCAGAGGGAGAGGGAGAAGCAGACTCCTGCCTGAACAAGGAGCCTGATGTGGGGCTCAATCTGGGGACTCCAAGATCACAGCCTGAGTTGAAGGCAGACGCTTAACCAACTGAGGCACCCAGGCGCCCTGGTGATGGGCATTATTAAGGAGGGCACTTGATGTAATGAGCACTGGGTGTTATATGCAACCACTAAATTCAACCCCTAAAACTAATAATACACTATATGTTAACTAAATTGAATGTAAATAAAACTTTTTAAAAAAGAAATGAAAAAAAAAATAAGTAGCTTCAAAACAGATCTGTAGAGACACCAAGCACATCAGTGGTTGTCTGGAACCTGGGCAGAAACCAATGTTATTGAAAAGAGGGAAGATTAACTGCAAAGAGGCACCAGGGAGCTTTTTGGGATGAGAGAAATGTCCTATATCTTGACTAATGATGGTTGCACAGGTATATTTATAAGTCAAAACTCATTAAACTTTATAGTTAAAAGATGCATTTTGTTTAATATAAATTTTACCTCAATAACATTGGATTAAAAAGAAAGGTAAACAACCTCCCTGGTCTTCTATTACATTACTAAATTTTCTCTGCTCAATGGCATTTAACAATATATAAAATTATTTCATTAATTCTTTTATTTATCTATTGCCCAACACCTCCACCCCATCAGAATATAAACTGCTTGGAGGAGTCTTGTCTACTACTCTAACTCCAGCATCAAGAACTACACCTGGCACATAGTAGGAGCACAATAAAGTTTTTTTTGACAGAGTAACTGGTTAAAATCCTTCAATGGTTCTGCCTCCAAATTATATACTGATTTCATCCACTCTCATCTTCCCCACTACCACCACTTTAACCTAAAGTACCATCATTTCTTGCTTGGATTATGCAATGGACCCCTTGCTTCCACCATTGCTCTCTCATTTCAGTCTCCACAGAACCCCTTTTCAAAATTTAAATCAGATCATATTACTTCCCTGCTTGAAATCAAAACAAAACAAAACAAAAAACGTGTAGAGATAATTTGATTAAAAGGCTGAATAAGTGAATAAGAAAAGGCAATTTAAAACTTCAGGAAAGTACAAAAGCTATACAAGAAAAGTTATATTCCTAATATGAAAGAAACTAAACTGTAATATTGGAGCAGATTTGAATCTCAGTCCACAAATTTAAAAAAAGCAAACAAACACCTTAACTGTTAATGATAGGGTGGTGATAGGGGGATAGCCCTTAGAGCAAAAAATCAAGTCTTCTATCTGCATAGGTTACCTCTTAAATGTCTGCCATTCCAGTCTACATGCTCTTTATATCTGGTGAATCTCTCCTGCCTTCCTGCTATGGTGGGACACAGGTGTCTTATATGAAGTCGCCCAGGGTCTCATCTACCTAAACACACAATGCAGCTGTCACCCTTTTGAGTCTTGCCACCTCCCCTAGGTGCTTCCACAAAGTGAATGGCCCTTCCTCCTCCAGAAGAGCCAAACCTCATTCTCTTCTCTTACCAGCCAGAGTGAATCTCCTTGTCTTTGGGAAAAGGGCCTGCTTCTCTGAGACACTGTGTGCACCCACAAGTCACATTCCGTTTTCTTTCCCCAATTCCAGTAATTTCTCTAAAAACATTAAGGTTGGAGGAAGAAACAATAAAGATAAGTGGGATAAAGCCGAAACTGGATGGCAGAGCAAAGTAGAAAGAACCTGCATCCTTGATGCCATTATTCAGCCATTGAGTCCTGTCCTCTTTCTTTATTGTTAAAGCCAATGTGAGTTGGCTTTTCTGTCACTTGCTATTCAATGCATCCTACCTGATACACAGTTTGGTGTCAGGAATAAAAGTGCTGCAAATAACAGACTTAGGATATGTCCACATCCTAATTCCTGGAACCTGTGAATGTGAACCTATTTGGAAAAGGGGTCTTTGCAGGGGTAATTAAGTGTTCATTTTGGCTATTTTCAAGTTCAGTCGGATATTGAAGAGATACAAATAAAGACATTTTAATTTAAAAAATTCACATTTGACCTTTATTACATAACCATTCCTCAAGATCAAAAAAAAAAAAGTCTTTTCAATAGAACTTCACAGGACTTAGAAATTTAAGGTGTTTTTTTTTTTAATTTAGTTTCATGGCTTATTTGACAATGTTACTAATGTCAAAAATGTATTCTCTATAACTCTGGGAATCTGAACACCTGAGTTTTGTCTTGGCCATCATGCTGGGAGGCCTTGGGCAGGTCACTTACTCCTCTGAGAGCTCAGTACTACTGTGGAGCTATCAGTGGTTCTCAAGCACCCACAGACATCGGACTCATCACCTTGTTACAAGCACAGATTTTTGGGCCCCATCTCAAGCCACTGAATCAGATAATCTAACATTGAGGCCAGGAATCTATGTTTTTAATTAACCAGGCGATTACAATGTACAGTTTGGGAACTACTGGATTGGATGGGCTCTGAGTTCCTTCTAGCTCTAAAAATGTGATTTTCTGATTTCTGTTTCTTGTATTACTGTTTGTCCTATCTCTACTACTAGATATTATGCTAAAAAACAGAACCACAAAATAAACAATAAAAAAAAAAACCAGGACCATGATTTAGTCATCCTTACATCCTTCTAGCACTTACATAGTGCCTGGTATGTTGTAGACACTCAATAAATATTTGAAAAAGATTAATCAATGGCAATGAAATAAATGAATGTTATTTTATGTGGATCCCAATCACCTATGAACAGAGAGATTTATATAGAAAGAAAATATCACAAACTTTTACCTGATATAATCTTGCACTCCCTTTCTGCTCTACTACATATTTCAAATAATGTGTTGTGGGAACGAGGTTAATGCATATTTAGAGACCCAGTAGGAAAGTGGTTGAGATGCTTCTGTGGGCCCGATTATCTTGCAGTATTTCCCAGTGGTAGTGATAACTGAGAGAGGCTCATGATTCAGCAGAAGCTCGGTTTCCTCCCATTGACATTTCCAGGTCCAGAAAAAGCCATATCCTGAATGAGTGACAGATGTTTTTGGGGCCATGCTGTAGGTCTTTGCACCTGCAAAGGCCACTTCAAGTTTCTGTGAGTCCCCAGTGAGTGGGAAGAGGCACTTGTCTTCTGCTAGAAGTTATCCATAAATTCTCCGGCAGTGGGTGTCAGCCAAGCAAAGTGTCCCGCAGAATGTCTGATACCACCTCTTGTGACCCTACAGTCTCTTTTCCCACCCCCTTCCCCCCTCCACACTCCACTGACCACCCTGGACTTCCCCAGCTCAGACACTGTCTGCTGGCTTTGGAAGGTACCGGCTCAGGATGAAATCTGTCACAGGGGTGGGCAACTTAGCCAATGGAACGTAGAGGAGTTTGGCATCCAGGCCAGGGTTATAACGGATTCTGGGGCTCCGGGAAACAATGGCATGCTCCATGCTGTTGGTGACCTCGCTGATCCTTGGCTCTGCCAACTGCATCATGTTTTTTAACTTGTCAGTATCTGTTTGAAGGTACAAGAGGGAAGGAAAGTCAAAGGCTCTGTTACTCTTCATAATAGATGGTTTCTTCTGAATTCTATCCAAACTCCCTTTCCATCAGATCCCTGATCCAACATTTCAGGCAGATCTACCATACCCTCCAGGTTGTCCCTTAGGCAAACACCCTGTAAATAATCTTATTTCTCTTCCTGAGTTCAACAATTGTGTGTTGAATTAGCAATTAGAAGAACTGTGCCCAGTTCTGCCACTTATTAGTTGTGTGACTTTCAGCTTAAACTTCCATCATCTGTAAAATGAGGATAATAATACCTGCTCTGGAGAATAATAAAGATGAATAATAGCAGGGTAGACAGTGGGGAGGACAGAACAGAAAACAAGTGTATATAAGTGTATGGGAAAAATGGGAAGAAATAAGTAAAAATACTGTCTGGTTGGTGGGATTCCTAGTCACTGGAGGCTCTTTTTTTCTCCTAGATAGGTCCTAGAGTTCCCAAATTTTCTACAAAAGCATACGAGAAAAAAAAGATGTTATTAAAAAATAGTAACAGGGTTACCTAGGTGGCTCAGTCGGTTAAGCATCTGCCTTCGGCTCACGTCATGATCATGATCTTGGAATCCTGGGGTGGAGCTCCCTGCCCAGCGGGGTGTCTGCGTCTCCCTCTGCCCTTGCCCCCCTTGCTTGTATGCACACGCTCTCTCTCTCTCTCTCTGAAATAAATAAATAAGACCTTTAAAAAAAGATTTTATTTATTTATTTGACAGAGAGACAAAGCAAGAGAGGAAACACAAGTAGGGGGAGTGTGAGAGGGAGAAGCAGGCTCCTTGCTGAGCAGGGAGCCTGATGCGGGGCTCGATCCCAGGACCCCAGGATCATGACCTGAGCTGAAGGCAGACGCTTAACGACTGCGCCACCCAGGTGCCCCGATCCTTTTTTAAAAAAAAAAGACCCTTGCCTTGGTCATGAGGCCACTGTGGGGGGGTCAAATGATCTAAGGCACAGACAGGTATGTTGTAAGGCTCTAACAAATGTGAGGGGCTATTCTGTTCACGTCGTGCGCACGGGTATGAGGATATGTGGATGGGCGCAAGGCATCTGAGTGGTCCAAGTCTGCCACAGCTCACCACACAAATAGGAGACAAGCCACATGGTACACTTATGGGGCCCTGATGTGCACCTTTGCCCCAGGACTCTGGCAGGTCACTGGGACCCCTACTTCAATGAGAGCCCCAAGAACTCTGGAGGAAATGGTGCCTGAGAGTCAGACTTGCCAATAAGGGATTAAAACTCGAAAAACAGAAGAACAATAGCTGGCCCAACTTTGGGGATGGTCTAGGAAGACAAGGAATTCATCTTCTCTGGGCAAGACCCTGGTGAGCAGTTGATGAGGGCAGGACAGCGTAGCTTCAGTACCCTTCACCCCCAACTCCAATGAACCACCTCTTTGTTTCCTACTGCAGTGAAGCAGCTGTGCTCCGAATAACTTCTCTGTACTCATGTCAGTGCATTTTCACCTGTTTGCCTACAGAATAATGTATGCAGGTGCCAGGAGTGGGCAGCATCTCCCCTAGCACTCCTCTCCCCACAAAGGCTGTCGTTCTGCCACTCTGAGCAGTTGCCCCCTTGGTCTCTATTCTCAGATCCCAGCCCTGCCACTAGTTGTGTGGCCTTGGGTCCATAACCCCTCTGAGCCTCCATCCCATTATCTCTGCAACGAAAACGAGTCAGCGATCCCCAAGATCTCGCTGTTCCTCTCGGAGACCCCCTCTCCCTCCCAGAGAACTCACAGTTGCGGAAGTACTCCTCCCCATAGCTATCCCGGGTCTCCTGAGGCAGCCGCTCCCACAGCCTTCGCATACGGGACACCGTGCCCTCCTTGCCCAGGATGGATGTTCGATAGTTCCCCGGCTCAATGATGCTGACTTTCACCCCAAAGTAGTGGAGCTCACGCCTGGGAAAGAAGAAAGACTCAGTCTGGGGCCCTGAGATGACAAAGGATCATCAGGGAGAGTCACTTCTGACCCCTCTACAGGAGCTTATCTCCCCAGGAACCTAGAGGTGCTCCCCCACCCCTGTACCAGACTGGCATTGCCTTCATGCACGTAAGGGCCTCAGCCCTTTCCCAAGCAATTTACATTAGGCAAACCCAGCAGGAAAGAGGTCAACAGAGAATCTAGACCAAAGCCCTGCCTCCTACCAGGTTCCTCCCACTCAGCCCCACACCCAACAACCACATGGCAAAGAGAGTGAGGGGTCTGGGCAAGGTCTGAATCCTCCTCTGAGGGTCTCCCATGGGCATGTTTGCCCCCAGAATTCTCTGTCTGCTTGAGAGACTCTCCCTCTTACTCCCACAAGCCCAAACATGGTTTTGCTCACTTTGGGACAGCTCAAGGGAAGGCAGGAAGACAGCCTCCTATCACCACTCCCTCTTCTCCTGGTCCTTGGGGAATGCCCCCAAGGACTAGCCTTCTTCCTGCTGCTGTGTTAGCTCCCCACCTCCGGAACGCCCCTGCCCACAGGCCGTCCTCCCTAGCCCTCTCTTCCTGAGGTGAAACCTGCAGGACTCCCACCCAGAGCATTTTGGCAGCAGGACCCAGTCACCTGATGCTGTCAGAGAAGGCCTCGACACCAAACTTGGAGACACAGTAGCCACCACCGATGACTGCCACACGACCACCAGAGCTGGACATGTTGACGACCCTGCCCCGAGCTTTTTTGACCAGGGGCAGCATATGGAGGGTCACTTCAATCAGTCCCACCAGGTTCACATTGATCACCTTCACGAAGTCCTCCTTCGTCAGCCATTCATTGGGTCCACTGGGCAGGCCTACACCAGCATTGTTCACCAGGGCCCAGAGGCCTAGGGGTGTGATGGAGGGAGAGAGAACCACGCAGAAATCATTAGCATCTCTGGAAAAGCATCAGAGTCCACCACCCACCAGCCCAGGGCTGCCAAGGCACAAGATGGCCCGGCTGGAGGCAGGAGGTGGGGAGCTGTGACGGCCCAGAGGAAGATATGCCTTTTACTAATTAGTTTTCCTAAAGGGGCCCTTTTTCTGACTCACTAAGTCTGTCCCTGTGCTAGCTGGGACCCTGTACCAGCTACAACCCAGGCCTTAGCTAATAGCACCTAAGCTGTTAGCTCTGGGAAAAGAGATATCATTTTCATACCAATGAAATAATGGTTGAAGTCCTTCAGCTCTCATGAGTCCCCCTCTCTATTCACCTAAGTGTAAGAAACCAACTCCATTTTGCACATTACCAAACTCAGTCCATTCATTCACACATTCATCCATTCATCCATCCATTATCTATTCTCTGTCAGTTACAGAGGAAGGTGCTAGAGACATAAAATGAACAAGATAGAGTCTTATCCCTCAAGGAGCTCACAAACCAGAGAGGACATTAATGATATCCGTAAGTAAATATGGAACACATTTAAGTAAAACAATCCTGAAAAAAATGTAATAAGGGCTCTCTTTCAGATATTTAATTTGAGTTGGTATAAATGGAGAGAAATAATGCTAAGTATTGTCATTCAACTCTGCAGGGACCCATGCTTGAAGAGCCTCAAGTTCTAGCCTCTAGTTCAATTCTAGTTCTACATCCAGCTTTGGATAAGTCACTTCCTATCTCTGGGCCTCGGGTCCTTCATCAACTGGACAGAACAGTTGCTTCCAGCCTGTGGTTTGCAATCCTGAGACTCTTCCAGGCTGAACCCCAGCACCCGCTCAGGGAGGAAGATGCAGGGGAGGCTTGACTTTCATTTGTTTTACATGTCGAGCTCCCGAGTGAAATTCCACTTGGAGGAGGATGTTTGATGCTAAAAACATGTTGGAAAGTCTCTAAATGATACCTAAGGACACTTTCCAGCTCTTTCATTCAAAGATTCCATAAACCCCACTGTCCCTTCCCCTCGTCCCTCCAGCCCACCTTGACCCCTGCAGCCACAAGATACTCCTCCCAGCACAATTCCACTCTCTTCTGATGGCAGGTCTGGATGTAAACACCACTCTTGGTCCATTCCTCCTCCTAGGTCTGGGGTCCACACACAAGCCATGCCCCCACCATATCATCCTGCCTTCCTCCAACTAGAGAGACCCCAGAGACCAGCTGGCTGGCAGGACTCGAACCTTCCCAGCCAGAGGAGACTCTGTTGTCTTACAGAGGAGGAAATGAGGCTCCTGAGACCCAAAAACTATAAAACCCCAGTGGTCTCTGTCTGTGGAGAAGGGACACACACTCGCCACGACCTGTGATCACCCCGGCAAACAGCTCTGCCTGCTGGCAAACCAGGACTACCTTCATTTTTTTTCCTGCACGGAGCAACTAGAGAACCGTCAGAGCAGTGTGAATAGCTTTAAGACTGTGCCAACCTGTCATGTCCAGAGACTCTCAGGGGCAACAAGAAAGCATGCCAGGAACCCTGCCCCCCACCTTCCCAGTGCTTCTTAGACCAAGGATGTTACCCAATGTGGTAGGCAGAATAATGGCCCCCCAAAGATGGCCCCATACTAATCCCCAGAACCTGTGAACACGGTGGGTTATGTGGGATAAAGGAATTAAGATAGCAAATGGAATTCAAATTGTTAATCAGCTGACCTTAAAATGGGAAGGTGATCCTGAACTAGCCTGGTGAGCCCAATATAATCATAGCGGTTTTTTAAGTGGTAGAAGGCAGAAGACAGAACCAGAGAGACAGCAGTGTGAAAAGGACTTGGCCCTACCTTGTTGGTCTTGAAGATGGAGGAACCGGGTCATGAGCTAAGAAATGCAGGAAACCTCTAGAAACTGGGAGAGGCAATGAAAGGAATTGTCCCCTAGAGCCTCCAGAAGCAACAAAGCTTTGTTCGACACCGTTCCTCCTGTTCCTGTGCCCATGCCCTGCGTGCAGGAAGCTCCCTGGGCAGCCCAGCCCAGTCAGCCCACAGTCTCTTTTCCCAAAAGGAGTGGTCACTCTGATGTCTGCACTTAACCTGAGGTCAACCCAATATCCTCCATGATGTGAGGAAGAGAACAGATCTCTCTCTCCCCTGCCTTCTGGCCTGACACAGTCAAGGAGAGCAAACATCAGTGAGACCCATTTTGGACTTCTGACCTCCAGAACTATAAGATAATAAATTTGTGTTGTTTTATTTTTTTTTAAAGATTTTATTTATTTATTTGAGAGAGAGAGAGCAAGCATGAGCAGGGGGAGGGAGAGGCAGAGGGAGAAGCAGGCTTCCCGCTGAGCAGGGAGCCCGATGTGGGGCTTGATCTAGGACCCCGGGATCATGACCTGAGCCAAAGGCAGACGCTTAACTGACTGAACAACCCAGGCGCCCCTAAATTTGTGTTGTTTTAAGCCACTAAGTTACTGCTTTAATTTATTACAGCAGGAACGGGAACCTAATCTATCCAGTGACTCATGAACACAAGTGGCTCGAGGCTGAATGTAGGGCACTGGGCAAGGCAGCCTATTGAAGAAAGAGACTGACTCTCACTGAATTATTCATCAATTAGTTCATTCAACAAAAATTTACTGAGCACTTTACTAGATGCCAGACACGGCCTGTGTACTAAGGATGGACAAGGAAAAGAGACAAAAAGCCCCTCCCCCCTCCCCCCCCAGCCCTGCCCTGGAAGTTTTATTCTAGCAAGGGAAAACAGACAATAAATAAGAAAAATAAGTAAAACATATTGTATATTGGATAGTGGTAAATGCTAAGGAGAGAAATAAAGCAGGGCGTTACTGTTTGGCTCCTCCTGCGTCCCTGGGCTGTCTGGCCCCCACCTGTTGTGGGGCCCCTAGACTAGTCCCCTTAGGAGTCAGGACTTGCGTCAGCCTGCTGTTCCACAACAGAACCATCCCGTCCCTCCTGTTCCTGTGCCCATGCCCTGCGTGCAGGAAGCTCCCTGGGCAGCCCAGCCCAGTCAGCCCACAGTCTCTTTTCCCAAAAGGAGTGGTCACTCTGATGTCAGCACTTAACCTGAGGTCAACCCAATATCCTCCATGATGTGAGGAAGAGAACAGATCTCTCTCTCCCCTGCCTTCTAGCCTGACACAGTCAAGGAGAGCAAACATCCCCACTCAGGGAGTCCAACGTCGTGTTCCCTTTCCCCTCCCCCCAGCCCGATCCCAGTAAGAAATGTGCTTACATTTCTATAGGAGCTGATGGTTAGGACTACCCAAGTCCCAGAGAGGCAACTCCATCTTTAGAGGTTTTGTACATACAGAACACATCTTCCTTCTCCCGCATCCTATGGCATTCTCCCCCCACCCCTCTGAGTTTCTGGCAGAGAAAACTTCCTTGGGGAATCACCCCTTCATGTGAATAGACCAAACCACACAATGGCTTCCAATCCCACTGAGCCAGAGCCCCAGCCCCCTTCTCTCCATCACCTCTCCCACCGCATCTGAACAACAGTGTCCCTGATCACTGTCAGATGCCTGGGGGAGAAAGAGAGAAGGAGACACTGAGAAAGCCAAAGAATGCAATTTGCCCCACCTTGCTCGCCCACTTGGTCCCTCACCCACTGGGTCGCTGCCTGTATGCTCTCGGTCTTGGTGACATCCAACAGGGTGGTCTGCAGCCGGTAAGAGGTATCCTGCTGAAGCTTCTGGGCCCCCTCCTCAGTGAAGCAAGCAGCCAGCACCCGCATGCCCCGATCGACCAGTTGCCTGGCCAGCAGGTTCCCGAAGCCCGAGTCACAACCCGTGATGAAGACGTGCTTGTCTGAGAGGTTGCGAACCAGATTGCAGTTCTTGAACCAGCGATACATAAAGGAGAGATCGGTGATAGCCGCCATAGAGCAGGGGGAAGGTGATGGCCAAGAAGATTGGGCTCAGGGGACAGTGGGAGAGGCTGGTCCTCTGAGCCCCACCTGGCAGTCTGCTGGAACCCACTGAGAAGTGCTCTCCTCTCTTCCACTGCTGGCAACAGACCCAGGGCTCCTGGGTGAGCCACTTTATAATTTCTATAGGTGGATACATCAACACACCAATTAGCCTAGATGCAAGAAATTCAAGTCCAACCTGAAGCTTTGTGACCTCAGACAGTCCTGGTGGCTGCCTCTCGCTCTCCCCCAGCCCTGATGGGTGAAGCTGCCAAGGATGGGAAAGACCTTGTTGGTGATGACGATGCTGAGAGGTGGCTCATCTTGCGTGGTCTGAGCAGTGCAGGTGAGAAAGGAGGACTCAGCCCAGAGAGCCTCCCTGGAAATCCCCACCTCTGGCCCGGGTATCAAAATCATTTGTCATGAGAGCAGACATGTCAATAAACTGAATTTTTATTTTCAAGGGAAAAAAATTAAGACACATTCATTAAAGTAAAACAAACAAAATTGGTTTTGTGCCCCACCCCCAAACCCCAAAAGAAATGTTTCAGGTTACTAGCTCTTTGGAATTCTCTGCCCTTAGGTGAATCTCCATTATGAGAGATGAAGAAAAACAAAGGGTCTCTCCGAGGGTGGATGTGCCTCCAAGGTCCTGAGGCCAGAGGCAGCAGGGCCCTCCTGCAGGGAGGCTGTTTCTGAAAATGGAGAGAGGAGAGGCTCCAGGCCTGGGTTCTTGGGAGGTGATACCAATGAAGAGCCCCCACTGCACTCCAGGCAGGCCCAGCTCTCCTCACTCAGTGACCAGGCAAATGCACAAAGTTAAGGACATAAGACATATCAGCTCCCCTGGGGCAGGGCCCCCAGTGGGCATTTCCTTCCACCTCTACGACTAGGCACACACTAGGTAATCTGGTGAGCTGAGAAGCCTGGAGGGGGTATGTAACAGTGGAAGGAAGGGATTATGAAGTCAACTGACACAGTGGCTAATTAGATGTACAGAGGTAGGGGAGACCAGGAGTCAAGGGGATTCTTTTTTGGGGGGGCCACTATTTTTAATTTAAATGCAAACATGGATGTTGGCACATGGTCATGAGGCAGCATTTAACTTGAACAGCATGCAAACAAGCAAAAGGCAGTTATTTGTGTACGTCTGAGGTTACACGATTAAATCTTTACTTGCTTTTAAAACTTCTAAAGGTCTGATTTTGTATTTTGAATATACTAATTAAATCCCCAAGCTGACCCTACTATTTAAAATAACCTGCTTTGGAAGGAGAAATTTTTTTAAGAAAAGGACAGAGTTAACAAACAGGGTTGCTGGAGAGGAGGTGGGTGGGGGGAATGGGGAAATTGGGGGATGGGCATTAAGGAGGCACTTGATATAATGAGCACTGGGTGTTGTATGCAACTGATGAATCACTAAATTCTACCTCTGAAACTAACGATACAGTATAAGTTAATTAAATTGATTTTAAATAAAACATTAAAAAAAAAAGGACAGAGTTAAAGAATATCTTTCATTTTCTTTGTCATCTGTTAACTCAAACAACTGCTGAGCACAATCCTTAATTAACTCATCCAAAGCATCTTCCATTGCTGATAAGTCAGAAAGTTCCTCCTGCAGCTTCTTCCGTTGGGGCACAGCTCCAAAATTGCTAAGATCAGATCCTATCCATCAAATATGGTTCTTAGACTTTTTTTCAACCAGATCGATTCCATCTAAGACATTGGTGATGTCATACACTCTTCATTTCTGCACTCCCAGTTTTGTGGCAACCTTAAGTGGAGAATACCCCCAGGAGCAGATCTGACAAGATCCATAAATTTTCGAGTTAAATAAACCAAAGATACATCAAAACGAGGTCTCTTCACTTTTAGAGCTTTTCTCATGGACACACACACACCGCTGCTGACTCATGCTGCCCAGCCGGCGGTCCCTCACCTTGCACCCGGCGAGCTCTCCCGGCTTCTCCCTCTCCGGCCAGGTGCTGCCCCCAGTGCGCTGGGTCCTGGAGGCTGAGCACGAGCTGGGCCCGCGGCCTGCCCGGTGGCGCCGCTGCCTAGGCCAGCCCGTGAATGAACGCGCCACTGCCCCATGATCTCGGGAGCTACAACACAGATGGGAAGAGAGCAGGGTGACCCACGGCTCTCAGGACTCCAAGCCCGCCATCTTCCCGCATGCGCCAGTCAAGGGGATTCTAACGTATGGGGCTGATAACAGGTAGAACCACAAGTGGCAAGAGAAGTAGGGGTGAGGGCGCTTTGGGTAGAGGGAACGAAGGCAGGAGATAGAGAGCTACTATAGGAACCTCACTGAGATGAGGTCCAGCCAGATGATGAGGACAGGCCGTGAGTTCCCTGCGCAGCTGCAGGAAGGGCCTGGGGCCAAATCTTGGCTCTGAGAAGGGATGACATATGGGAAAAGCAGAAGACTAGAGTCAGAGACTTGGAAAATTCTCAGAGTCAGGACGTGGAGGGGAGGGAGAGATTCCAGGAAATGGGGCAAAGAACTCAGAAAAGTTAGGAGGGAAGCTGGTAAAGCAAAAGAAGTAAGGAGATGAGACAGAGGAGCCACACCTAGGACCCTCAGATGCAGGGACAGAAGGATGTTGGGGTCTATGGCGGCTCTTGGAATAAACCTCTAGAGACACCATTCCCCAAGATGAGCCTGGTCACCAGCTCATCCTGAGGGACTGGGGGCCAGCCACCCACACCTTCCCTGTCCAAAGGGTCTGACAGAAATGAAGCCAGAAATTTCCTAAGGTGAAGAGACAAGGATGCATCTCTATGCTCCACCATCTACCAAGGTTGGTAAGCTTCAGAATCAAATAATGCAGGTGTTGCCTCAGGAAAGACCAGAGAGCTTGGCCATTCTAGAACAAGGGTGGTGGGAGTGAGAGGTCAGATCATGGGCACACCCTGGGGTGCCGATCCAAACCCTGTGTGAGAGAGAGGTGGGGAGTGGCGGAAGCAAATCTTACCTACGGCCCACCCAGCCCAAGGCACAACACCTACACTCAATCTGGGAGGTATGTCCAAACTCTGCCCCCTGGGTAAGTGAACAGGGAAATTTTGTCTAGGGGAAGTCAGACAATGTCACTCAAGGGCTGAGCAGTCCCAGGAGTATCCCAGTCCTTGAGAAGACAGGTGACATCTAGGGGTTGTCTCTGGATTTAGAAAAGGATGACGTGGAACTACCCCAACACAGGACTGGGCCTGACTCACCATTTCATGGGCCTCTCTGCTGACTGATGGTCAAGGCAGTGTTCCCCTGGGTTCAAACTCCCAACAGCTACAAAAAGCAGGTTATGCAGTGGGGAATGGGAACCACAGAGAAGGGCTCTTTTCCTAGGGCTAGAAATGCCCCACTCTCAGATGACAAGTCTCCCTGCTGAGTACCTGAGGCTGAAGTGTTGGGCTGGTGGTTGAACACCATTCACACCTCTGTTCACTAATATCTTCAGCAGAGAGGGGCCATCAGCTCCTCCAGGCCATTTCCAGCACCTACTACATGGGTGAGAATGAATGACACAGCAACATCTGACCTTGCTGTTTTCACCAAGAACATTGGTGTCATTCTACAGTATCAGATCCCCCTAAAGGCTCCATAGCCTCAGTTTGAAAGTGAGGGAAGAAAACTAAGATACCTGATGAGGCAGCTCACAGTTCTGGTTTGTCCTCAGCCCAGGAATCTGCATCACTCTCTGCAAATGCTTCCTCTGTTCAGTCCATGCTCAGAACATCATCAGAATAGTGGAGACAGAGAGAGTCACGGTCTCAGGAAGCGCCGGGTAATTAAGGGAATTCCTGCCTGGCACACAGTAGGTGCTCAACAAAGGTTAGCAGAGAACAAAAGACTGGGGTCCAGAAGTGACTCTTACTCTCCTCCACTGGAGGATGTGGGAAGGGGGATCTGGGCTGGGGAAGTTGGGGTGGCCACAGTTGGGGACATAAATCTAGAGGAGGGGAGAACAGAGGGCTGCAGAGAGGATGCTGCTGAGGGGGCAGGCTTGATATCCCTGGGAAAGGACTAGGGCCTGCCAGTGCTTCAGCAACTTCTCCTTGTCTGCCCATCCTTGGGTTTCCTGTGACCCCACGTTACTCGATAAATCCTGGAAAGGAAACATTAGCCCCCGCTTCTGTGGAAGGAAGGGGGCGATCTCACTCCCCTCTTGAAACCCCGCCCAGGTTATCCCGTTGCTCCCTTGATCTCTGTGAAGGCACCTGACTGCTCCTCTCATGGACTCACACCCCACTGCTCCCCAAGGCCACGGTTCCAATCACCAGGCCTAAGTAAACTTTTCAACTTTTATTTTGAGGCAGAAATAATCAATGGACTTCAAGGTTTCAAGACAACTCAACAACTGGTTTCTCTTTCTTTCTTTTCTTTCTTTCTTTCTTCTTCTTTCTTCTTTCTTCCTTTTTTTAGGTTTTTTTTTATTTGACAGAGAGAGAGAGCACACAAGCAGGGGGGAGGCACAGAGGGAGAGGGAGAATCAGACTCCCCGCTAAGCAGGGAGCCCGATGAGGGGCCCGATCCCAGGACGATGAAATCATGACCTGAGTTGGAGGGAAGACGCTTAACTGATTGAGCCACCCAGGCGCCCCAATAGCTGGTTTCTGTGTCCTCTGTGTCCAATTATAAACATGTCCTTTTAGCCAAGGTCTGTGAGTTGGCTCCTCAGGCTAATGGGTCGGGCTGGTTGTCCCCATTCACATCTGTTCTGGCATTAGGTATCTTCAGTGGAGAGGGGCATTAACTCCCCCAGGCTATGTCCATCCTGTGGGAGGGGGACACCCTGAGTAGGGGGAGAGAGGTAGAGCAGGTGGGGGCTGAGACCTCCCTGCTGCTGACACTCTGCCAAGAGTATGGATTCCTCAAGGTGGCAGGAGGGCCAAAAAACTCAGAACCTTGAGAAGCCATTCAGGGAACAGGGCATGTGTGTGTGCTATTGGGTCCCTGTTCCTCAGCCATGAACTTGGTTCTTTCCTCCTGATATCTCCAG